ATTAGAATAAAAGATTCTGATGAAGTAAAGGATTCTGATGAAGTAAATGGGTTTGAAAAACCTAAAGCTGAAATGTGCTTTGCCCAGATTTTTCAGAAAATTAGATTTCAGAGGTTTTTCAAAGATTTGAAACAATAGCTCTTAGCAAATGCTGCGACAAATGTTACTAGGTAATTCAGTTCAGTTCATTGATGCTACAGATCAGTGTCAGTGAAAACTTTGGAGTAAATTTGGTTCACTCAAGGCATTTCTTGAGTTTTAAGCTTAGAATTCTGAGTGGACGACTTCAGTGATTTCAAGGTCACTGCTCTGTGTCCTCTCATCACCACTGATTCCCCAAACCTTACCATCTGCCTGCACAGGATAGAGTTCCTAGATCTTAAGCATGTTTGCTTTTAATCTCTTTTCTTAGCCCTTCCTCACTTCTCTTTTGCTGTCTTTTAAAATAGATTCTGAATTTAAAAACTAATTATGTTGAAAATCATTTCCAAATTTTAAATTTTGAAACAATTTCATATTTAAAGAAAAGTTGCAAGAACAGCACAAATGACTTTTTTTATAGAGCCTGTTGAGATTGGTGCCCCATTACCTTGAATACTTTAGTGTGCATATTTCATAAGCAAGACATGACATTCTCCTCTATGACCCCAAACCACCATGAAATCCTTAGACCCAGTGCAAGCTTCCCCAGTAGTCCAGGAGTCCCGGCTATGTCTTTAGAGCCAAAGGGTTCAGTTCAGAATCCCGTTCTGCATCTAGTTTACATTTCTATAGTCTCCCTTTGTCTGTAACAGTTTGTCAGTCATTCCTTGACTTTCATGACCCTGTCACCTTTTGAACATCCAAGACCAGTTGTTTTGTAGAATATCTGTTGTTTTCCTTATTTTGAGACATTCAACTTTGGCAGCAATACCACAGAAGAGATGCTGTGTTCTTTGTACTGTCACAGCAGGTGGCCCATAATGTGAATTTGTCCCCTTTTGTGGGGAAGTATTTGGAAACTGTACATATCCCGTTTCTCATTAAACTTTTAATTTATCTATTTTTTTTCATATGTATTATTTATATCTATATAGACTCATGGATTCCTGGTTTATTCAGTTAGATATAAGCTTTCATTATCATAATGTCTTTTAATGTTGAAATTTGGCCAGTGGGTCAACTCTGATACTGAAATTTGGCTATGGGCTGGTACCTGTGTCCTACTGATGTGTCCCCATCATCCTCTGACATTTTCTGAGCAATATATCTATTAACTTTCTATTTATTGATCTACCTTTCTACTTATTTCTAACATTTATCTATCATCTATTTATCTACCTATCTTATCTCTCTTTCTGTGTCTGCACATAGTCTACATATATTCTGTAGCTGTGTCCAGTCTGGGGAATAGCAACATCCCAATAGCAACAAGCACACCTAACTGTATTTCATGTCTATTTATACATTTTGTAATCCAAGAGTTTATACCCACATCTTTAATTCTAACCCAGCACTACAGAGTTCATTCTGGTTTCCTCCTTTTCCATTTTATGCTTCCCTTGATGGACAGTGAGGAAGCTGACTCCTCTAATGAGGGCTATCTTTACTTTTGGTCCAACTCTCTGTATGAAACCAGTCGCCTGCTCCTTGCCTTGCACAGTCACTGGGGCTCTGACACCCCGTGTTTGGCTGTTGCACTGTGGGTGTTCCCCCTCACCTTGCTGGGCCCCACCTGAGGCCTTCTGGGCACTGGAATTCTCAGGAATGGTAGGGAAGAGAAAGAGAACAGAACAGGACATCCCAATAGCAAATAAACCTGGAGAAATAAAGGGAGGCAAATGCCACCGCCCACTAAGGAACTGTGAACTACTCAGTGCGCATGTGCCCTCAGATGTCAAGAATACCGTGGAGATGGAATGCAAGTGACATAGAGAGGCAAGTGTGAAGTAATTCAAATATTAGCAAAATTGTGAAACTCTTAAAAAAATGCTTTTCCAAAGTTTTCAACTAGCCTCCATATACATGTGAGATCAATCTATTAGCCATCTCTCCAAATGAACAAACCAAAAAATCATAGCTCATCGGTTTAGTATTTGGATCCTTGACACTGCATTTGTTTCTAGGCTTGGTATAATAGAATGCTGTTGAGAGCAGTCCTGCTGCTATGAAAATTTAGATTTTGTTTATGTCTTGCTTTTGTGATTAACTTGTCAACTTTAACATTCACGAGATCACCGTGTGGAGGACTTTGTATTTGTTATCCTTCTAAAATGCAGTATGCAGAAATGTTCCCCAACCTCTCTGACCTACAGTCCCAGGGGAAATTTTGTGATAACAGACTGTGGGCTTGCTGTATATGGTTTTTACCTGTAACATAGTCTAAATAGCCTTAAAGTACTCTGATATAGATTACATTTTGGTCTGAATTTAAATCATGTCCAAAATTAATTTCAGAATTTTCCAAGACACCCTCATGAAACCATCAAATTGGATCAACCAAAAGATGAGTTAAAGATATTCCATCACATATGCACCTCATTTGAATGTGAATGTACGTTTGTGTTGGTACAGTTGATCTCAGTTGCTCCCTGAATTCTCATGAGGTTTCTACAGAAAATGCATAGATGCTCCTGAAAGTAGCTATACAGGCACTAAATTCTGAGATGAATCCTTTTTTTTAAAGAATGACTATGGCCTCAAATGTAAGAACCAATAAATCAACAAACATTAAATTTTTTTAACCCTAATTCTTTATAGTCTACATTTCAAATGAGTCACATAGAATTAAAATGGTACCTGGTATCCAGGATCTTTGAAGAATAGACTCGGATTTTCAAATATATCAGAGACTACGCTAGAAAAGTGACACATATATCTAAAGCACTCATATTTTTCTAATACACTTTCTGTAATGTTAGTTTTTTGTTGTTGTTGTTGTCCCTCAGAGCAGTAGGATAACTTTTTTTAAAAGTCTACCTTAAGTATCTTGATATTTAGAAACTTGTACCCTGCTCTGCTTCCCAGCTGGGCCTGTGACTAGATGCTAACCTTCTGCAATCCCAGACAATAAAAAAAGTCAGATCAGATCAAGGTTTCTTAGTGTCTTCTGTGCTCTGGAGGTCTTTGGCAACCTGGCAAAGCCTCTGGTCCTTCTAAGAATAATGCTTTAAAATCAATAAAATAAATAAGAACACAAATAAAACCAGTGACATCAAAATTCAGTTATTAAGGCATTAAAAAGCAAATGTATCATATGGTAATGTGGGTTTGTTATAGCCTTAAATAAGTAAATATGGTGAACTCATAGCTATCGTGATTTTAATGTCATAATGGTGCAAATGACACTTTGAAATATCTGCGACAACACATGTGATTTGAGAATATCTATGGTTTTTATTGGTAACAAAGTCACAAGCATTTCTAATAACTCTGTGGTCTGTGTCTGTATTCATCATTAGTAGAAATGGCAAAATTTCCATCACAAGCTAGAGCAAATAAAAATGTAATCTTTTTTCCTATCCAAGTTTTTACATGCCCTGAATTCTGTCCAGTAGATAATCTCAAAGGAAATTTTCAGGTGAAAATATTCCAGGACTTTATAAACCATCCTTCTAGTTAGGGAGGTGGTGTACATTTAGACCCGATAAATCAGCATCACCTACCTGGAGCTTGTTAAAAATGCAAATCTCTGGCCTACCCCAGGTCTGCTAAGCCCCATTCTATGTGTCTAGGAGATCCTTGCGTGACTGGGTATGCACCTCAATGCTTGAGAAGCACTGCTGTAGACTAGGCTGCTCTGCCGGTCTAGGTGAGCTACAATTGAACCAAGTACCTTGGGATTCCTTAGATCTGCAGTCAGTTGCTTCCATTTGTTAAAACTTGCCCTTAAAAAAAGGGAAGCAAAAAAAAAACTAAAACAAAATAAAACTTGCCCTAAAACCCAAAGTCTAACAAGTTGGTGACCAACCTACAAGAAAGGAGAGCAGTGCTGTTAAACATATGATGGAGATTTTCATAGAAAATTTAGGTTCGGAGTTTCTTAAGGACCAGTAATGAATGGGTCTAGGTTGTTTTGGACAATCAAAGAGCCCCAGGCAGAAACAAACTATCTCTGCAAAGCAGGGAAGGGATGGTAAGTGTAACTGAATAACCAGGCGGAAACAGTGCCACGTTATTAAGTCACCGTTTGTTCTGTATGGTTTGGTTTGAGCACTATAACTGTTGCATACCACAATTGATGTCTTTGTGAATACATGTTTTTCACTGCTCTGGAACTATTTCATAGGTATGTAAAATATTAAGCAGTTAATGTCTTATGAACTGAATCATATCTACTTGGGGAGAAAAGTCACTCCTGAAGGGTCTTGCTGTGAAATTCTCTAATGGAAATTTCAATGTACTATACATTTATTGAGCATCTCTTTTGTTACTAGTGGAAATTCAGGAATAGAAGCAAACACAAGATACTATTTATAGTGGTAAGGGGGGATTGCATAGGATTTTAAGTTCCTGTTTATTCCTTTACTCCTTGACTCAATTATTCATTCATTCATTTGTTAACAGTATTTATTGAACCATTATCCAATGTCACACACTAATCTTTATAGCTGATCTTAGAGTGGTAGGTAAAACAGGTCTAAGTTGAAATTATGTTGGGCTATGTGTGCTCTGTTTAGAGTTTTGAGGCCTTATCCAACAAGCAACTGGGAAATGAAAACATTTTGAAGGAGGAAAGTTACTAATCAGATTTGAATTTTGAGATCGTCATCCTTGGGCCCATCATAAAAGGTGACTGGAAAGGGAACTTCAGATGTCACTTTAAGGTTTTCAGCCTGGAAAAATCGTACTTGTATTCATCTTGAGGTCTCTTGTATTTTTAAAAATCTCTCATTCCTTTCTTATTAATATTTACAGGTAAATATCTAGCTTGTGTTGGGCTTTTATTGTATGATGTACTTTGTGTTAGGTTTTTGGGTTCAGCAATATAATTAACATTTTCTCCTGTCATTATTTTGCAGCTTTGGACACTTGTCTTGATTTTATGGCCAGTCATTATCTTCATAATTTTGGCTATTACGCGGACCAAATTTCCTCCAAAAGCAAAACCAACTTGTAAGTAAATGATATTCATCTGTTTCTCTCACTTGGGATGCTAGTTAGAATTCACTTTGATAGCACTTTTGTGTTTTATTCCAAAATTTATAGTTTTAAGTACTCTTTCTCCTTTTGGAAGTACTTGGATGCTTAGTATGTTTTTTATCCAGTTATTTGAGTTAATTAGAAAGGTGAACCTGTAATATTTATCTAGAAAAATACAAAGCATGTAAGAGCCAGGATGTATCCTAATCTTAGTAAAATTTTAATAAATCTCTAAATCTCACCATGGTTGTGCAACACAGACAAGCAGTAAGCTCAAGCTAGATCATCCTCTACTCTGGTATTTTAACAGAAACCGTAGATGGTATTTGATCAGCTGAGTGAATGAAATCCAGAATACTAGAAAAGCCTCTGATCTCTCTTCTGGTCTGGTATTTGAATGCTGTGAATCGTCAACACACTTAGTTTAAGAGATTGTTTTCCATTTAGGGCTGTTTCAGTTACATTTAGTCCTTGCTAAGTTATAAAATGGACACAAGGCCCAACTCAGTTACTTTCTTTGGGATCCAGAGTGGAAATGCAGAAAAGACTCAGAAAAGTCATCAAAACTGAGGACTTTTTTTAAAAAAGTCCCTAACAATTTGACCAGTGTTTTTGCTTTTGTTGTTAAACTCTGGAGCCAGTTTCCTTAGTAGAGGACTGAAAGTCAAGTCAGATGTTAAACATTTCACAAAGCAGCCATCTCCTAAAAGGCTTCTTATAAATCGAACTTCTATAAATCAAATTGTATTTCAAGTAAATTATGGTAATTTACTTTATAAAAGAATACAATGCAGTCACTTATAAAGAGAATAATGAACTAGTGACTTTTAAAAATAAGCACTGTGTTTTTCAGTCCCCCAGTCCTACAAAGTAAGAGGAGAGCCATAGTAGAACCTTCTTGAATCATACACAATAGGATGTCTTGAAAGAAAATATGAGTTCGATAATTAAACTCTTGGTGCTAGAATAAAAATTCTTTATATTTGAATAGCACCTGACCACTCCTAAAGGACTTTTGCACAAGTTATTCTGTAAAGCTGTTGCTGAGATTTTATTAGGTTGTCTATAAAAGCAGCATAATTTTGTTATCTTAATGCTGTGTGTATATTAGTTTTTATAGCAGATTAAGTCCATTTATACTGTTGGAATTTATGTATTCTTGTGTTTCTTAAGTAGCATGAACTTCAGAAATAATGCATTCAGCACATAAGGACAAGTACAGTTTGAACTATTCTGGTTTAAAATGTTAATTATCAATTTGCTAAGAAGGAGTTTATCAGCTCCTTTCAACAACTTATTTCCACCAATTTCCTATTTTTAAAGATTTTTCAATTATTTAAAGTTTCTCTTATACATCTTCCCAGAGAGAAATATAAGATGTGTGAGTAATTTTTAATTGGTGCATCCTGATAGGATTTAGAGATTCGTGGTGAAAATTGAAAAGAGTTCTTATACTTCCACTAAATTAAGAAAAAAAACACTGAAAAAACCATGTGACAAGTGCCTCATAGATCTAATAATCTCAAAGGCTCTGCAAAGATACAATATCCAAAAGGGGATGACTAGCCATTTTTTTTATTATGGACTTATTATCATACTATAATAATGATTAACTATGAGGCAGTTATGTTTGTGGGTAGGAGAGAACAACATTATAGGAACATTCAAACATTGAAAGTATTTTTGCTAATCCCTTAGACATTATAAGACTGTCTAAAAAAACTGTTGATTAGTTTTTACTAGAATTGGAAGGGACCCTCTCACTGTACAGGTGAGAACACTGGGACCCCAGGGAGATGGTAATTTGCCAAAATGAAATCATGTGGCACAGACGAGAAAGGTTTTGGAAACTATCTTTATCTATTCTTTGTCCATGAGATTTATATTGCATCTTACCCTCTTATACAAAGAGCCAAATACAAATTATGTCCAAGATTTCAACTCATCGTATAATCGTTAGAGTATAAAATGTAATTTTATAATTGGAGGTGCTATTCTATAGAGTTATTTAGAGAATCTAAAACTAATATAGACACAGTTACTCTATTTTCTCTCTGTGGTAGAGAGGGAATAATGTCGAAATGACAGTTTAGATTTAGGTTTTTTTATTTTGCTTTTTAAAAATTTGTTGTTCTTTGTTTTTCACATCAGGTTTACTGAAAGATTTAATAATAAAAACAAAACTAATAATGATAAATATTTCTTGGTCTCACACTATGTGCCAGGCCCTTAGTGAGGTAATACAGCTTAACAGTGTTCTTCATTTCACAAAGAGAACAATGCACAGAGAGATTAAGTAACTTGACCAAGATTGCACAGTAAGTGGTGGTATCAGGATTTGAACCCAGGCAGCCTGGTTCTAGAATCTGGTTCTAAGCTCATAAACTTACATTTCTTACATTTAGTAGTCAGTACTAATTTCTCATGCTGTAAAAGTAGACTGAAAATTAGAAGTTAGGAATATAAATACCTCTTCTCTTCTCTATCATGAAATCAACAAATATAGGAAGAAGTGTATTCAGATGCATGAATTAGAGTCATCCTAAATATTAGTGTATGCAAGGGAGATAGCCGTCTCCATCTAATTCTGCATGAATCACTGTAGTTGTAGGATCACAGAGATCAGGTCCCGCTTAACAGAGTTAAAATTCTTTCTGGACTACAGTGATTTCTTCAGTGCCAGTTGAGCAATAGAGAAATGGAGATGAAACTCCAGACTACACCCCAGCTGAAACTCAGCTATGACAAGAACAGGAGTTGTCATTCCTGTGGGCACATCCTGCTCCCAGAATAGCTGGGCAGATGTGTAGTTTGATAAGCCACTCAAAACAAATATAATTAGTGACTCAAAAGGACTCCCTGCATGGTCTTTTTGACCGATGGGCATTTGCAGAAGCTTGGCGTTTCAGTGAGTAAGGTAGCTGCTGCTGCAGTTTTTGCCACAGAGACCACCAGTCCTGAGCAAAATGCTTGCTTTCAGCATTGTCAGCCTTCACTCACTCCACAGACAGCTTAAGTAACTTGCCTCTGCAGATAATAAGGCCCTGGAAGGCAAGCTTCCAAAGGCCAGCAGGCAGGCCTGGATGCTTCTCGTTCTCATGGAGAAGAAATGGGCTCAAGTGCCACGTTTGAAATAGTTCCAACCTCTTGTAATCTCTACACGTGGTTGAGATTAGAAGTGGCTTGTCAAGAGGCAAACTTTAAAGCAAAGATACAATGCTTAGGAGCAAAGGCAAACAAAACAACGGCCCCCCAACACCCAAATGCGTTTAGACTAAGCCGAGCTACAGTGTACAGGGAGTTACTTTGTCTCCCTTTAACACATACATAGCTGCAACAGTTCAGGCAACTAGTTTTCAAGAACAGCAAAACCCCGCCATAACGAGATAAGCGGACTCCAAAAACAATTGTTGCCAAACAGGGAGTTGTATTTTTATGAAGATAGTGAAAAACAATATTTCTGAGTGGTCAAAAATATTACTAAATATCCAGTGGAAATTATATTATATACAAGTATGCCCATACACTGAATTAAGTCCCTACCATTTCAAGGCTGTCACCTTTTAACACCCATGTCTCCTCAGAAGATACGAAATTCAGTCCACCCCACATCTGAAAACAGGCTTGTACAAGATAGGAGCCAACTGCAAATTGAATTATGTCCGAATTTTCATTTTCACAGGGTTATACTGAATGCTACCCATCTAATAACTCTGGTAAATGCAAAATAGTCTTTTGACCTCCAAAGCATACCTTTCGTCTTCATGGATGCAATAAATATAATAATAGGGGTGAACATTTATTGAACACTTAGTCATGCCTCTGACACTGTACTTTGCATGTATTTCCTTACTTAATGCTCAGATCATCTCCTCGGACTGTGTAACAGCATTACCACTATTTTAAAGATAGAAAAGCTGAGGCACAGAAATGTGAAGTAATTTACCAATATTCACAGGTTACTATCTGCCGGAGCCTGGATTTTAACCACAGTTTTTACCCACATATACTGTGGTTTCATCCAGGTCATGAGTGCCAGCGGTGGCAACCCTAAGCCTGGCCCCTTTCAGTTCACGGCATCTCCTTTTCCTTCTTCATACCTCCTGTTAGCACTATCACAGATCAAATGTGGTTGTGAAAGTGAACTCAGTTGGATTTTCTACTTGTCAGCAACTCTAGGAAAAAAAGATGCGGGAAGGAAAATTTATATTATTGATTAATTGGTGGTTTGTGGGATCCATGAGTGTTGTCGTACCTACGGTACCTGGATTGTTGAAACTATTGGGTAGTTTTATGTTGAAAGTGTCTATGAGGTCTCTTGCTGGTGAGGGTTGTGAAAGTCAGATTAGCGAGGTGTTTTCTGGCCCTGCTCTTGCTGCTGACTTTTTGTGTGGTGTGTTTTCACGGAAGTGAAGGCAGGTGCGTATGGACAGGCTCCCAGGGCACCACGCTCTCTGGCACACACATAGTAGTAGTTGGAGGGCCCATGGTAAATAATTTCCTTTTCTATTTTGATTGGCTTAAAATTAATGCAGGTTTTGTTCTGAGAAGCTCAGAACCCTTCACCATTCACCTTCTGCCAGGGATTTTCCCATCCAATTTCTCCATTCTCGTGTGTGCAGCAAGCCTAGGCAGCCTGTCAGGGTAGAACCATCCAAGTCATCACTGACCCCTCCCTTTCCTCTGCCTCCTGTGACCACTAGCCTCCAAGTCAGAATCCACCGTGTGACATGCACCCCAGAGTTACCCCTTTCTTTCCATCCTTTTTGCCACCCCTTGGTTCGAGATCTCATTGTTTTATGCCTGTATTTCTTCAATAGCTCTTCTGTTGTTTCTCTTTAAGTGGAGCCTCTAATTCCTCCCATATTTCATCATCAGATATTCCCCTGAAATACTGTTTGGGCCTGCGAAGTTTCAATTTTGCTTTGCCTGACTTTCAAGACCTTCATAATCAGGATTCGTCCAACTTTCTG